GATATTTCCATTATAATGGAAAGTGGGTGTCTGTGCACATCTCGCCTGTCAGAGCTGCACCACCGCATTTTCCAAGCCACTGCTAAATATTTCAAACCCGATTTGATTGTGGTTCATGACAGCTAATGTTTCTCAGCTCTTGAGCCTGCCGACAGGCGAACGCACTTTATTCCCCCCCAAATATGGCTCACCCCAAAGAAAAAGGAAAGAACAATTTCGTCCTTCAGGGATCCCAGATCATTGTATTATTTAAGTAACATGATCGCCCGAGAGCCTTGGGTACAGACACCCTGATTCTTAGGAGAATTTCCAAATTTCTGTCACATCGAGGCACTCCAGGGGCTTTGTTGGGCCTGGGGGAAGGTTTGAATTGATCTCCGTCCTCCTATTAAGAGTTGGGAACGGAGGGCCTCGTCTCGGTCATTGACTGACTCCCCTTCCTTCGAGTCTGAGAGCAGTTTGTGAAGGATACCCAGTGGGCGTGGCCCTCGGCCCCAGGAACCCCAGGAACGGGGTGAGCAGGATTGTGTTTCCGGCACCCCACCCAGCACGTTTTCTTGGGTAACGCATTGGGGGGATGCGTGCGGTGGCGGTGAGCGCCGACTTGACCATGACGCCACCTCTGTTCTCGCTTCTGCCCGGGGCTCCTCTCACACACCAGTTTCCAGGCTGTTCATGAAATGGTTGCACATCACCACGGGGCTGCCGGTTGGCACGCACACCTCCTTCGGGAGCAGATGGCACCACACGTGGGGGAATCATGCAGTCACCTTCACCAACATGCTAAGTGTAAGGTATGTTCAGAAAACAGTTTGCGTTTGTGGTGAGCAAAACCACCCCGACTGAAGGGAAATTTTCTGCAGCCGCGGTATCATCACCTCAAAAACCTAAGGTACCCCAGGAACCCTTCCCTTTGAAATTCTTACACCTGAGGGCCGTGCGCTCAGCCAGGAGACAGGCGTGAGCAGGCTGGGTTTGGCCTGAGTGCTAGTAAGCGCTGTCTGGGAGAAGCAGTTGTGAAAAGGAGGCAGGGATGGAAATCGATTTTTTTTAAAGACCTGCGGCCGCTGTTTTATGTGGAGGTTGAAGGCAGAAGGGATACCAGGAAGACCTCACAGTCATTCAAGATTTGCTTCTGGTTCCCTAGACCTTTAACGTGAAAATACATTCAAATAGGATGGGTGTCCTCGTTTGAGGGCCCCCTTGGGGTGTACCCGTCAAAGTCGGCTTCTGCTGTAGAGGTTGTTGCAGCTTCTCTGGAGTCTTCTAAAAAGCAGACATTCTTACCTGGCTTGTGCTGGGCCTGCTGCCCCCTGCCAGGAACAGGCAGGACATAGGGAGCTGAGACGACCTCCTCACCCAGGCCCGGGCTTTGCCCTTGAGAAAACATGCCTGGTGTGTTCTGCTTGGTTCTGAAATAGTACTAAACTCTTGGGGAAAAGATGGTTTTGATTTGTCCATTTCAGTCTTCAAAGTGGCACAGCGACTGCTATGTGTCTTAGGGAAGGGAAACAACTTCGTCCGCTGAGGGAAAGACAGGATTTTCCAGATAAAACCGGATCATCAGTCCATCAAGTCTTCACTGGTTCCCACCATCTGTCAGGAGCTGATATTATTTAGAGGGGAGAAAAAATCGACTTCCGTAATGACCCCGGCCAGTTGCCACTGACTTCACGGGTGGAAAATGCAATCTGTGATCTGGGGGAAACTGCCCTCCCCCAGTCCTTGCTCAGTCGGCACGTGGGTGTCAAATATACATCCCTAAGGGGAACAAGGGCTAGATAACCAGCCCCAGGAGCTCAGAGTGTGTGGATGCCGTTGCTCCCCAGGTCCCCACATCGTGGTTCCTATGCAGGGGGACACCAGACCCTTCCTTGGGGGCCCGCAGCCTGGGTCTTAGTGAGTGGGGGTTTCTTTAGGCTTTGGAGGCCCATTAAACATGGGCCGCCCGCAAAGCACTGTGGGCCTGAGCCGTCCAGACAAATTCATAGTTTGTATCTCTGTTTCTTCATCATTTCTCTACCTTTATTGGTATTCAGAGCTCACAGTTTTCTGGTTACTGTCAGCCTGGGCTTTCATCCATTTTAAAGAGCTATTTTTCCTCTTGCTGTTGATGATGATGGTATAAAGACAGATGGTGTAACTGCTTATGAATGTCCTATTTTATTTCCCCAGGACCAGACAGTTCACTTGAAGACGTGTATTATTTCCACATGCTCAGGTTGGGAGGCCCAGACAGTGCTTCCGCAGCGCGCTGCCCTTCCAGGCCTCGCCATGCAGAGGGCGACACCTGTAGGTCGTAGGTGGAACTGCAGGGAAGTGCCTGCCCGGCTGATCGGGACCCGGTTTTTAGATGGGGGTGAGGACTCTGATCCCCTTGTGAAGGAAGCGGTCCAGGAGTTTCCTGATCATTCCTTCTCCCACCAAGCATATAACAGCCTTTTAGTGAGTGAGTGACAAATGATAACTTTAAGCCTGGGAACTGAAAAAGAAGAGGATTTGATATTTAAATCTTAAAAATAAAGAAGAAAAGGGGGAGGGGGGAGAGAAACACAAGTTCCTGAATTCACCTCTGTCCTCCGTCCTCTCTTTGGAACTCCTCAGCTGCCTTCACTTTTCTGCTTGTAGGGCAGGGAGGGAATGAGGGCTCCAGGAATATTCACAAAGCACTTGTGCGGTTTTCCTTGCTCGTCAAATCCACGATGTGCTTATTCTTCACACTCTGTATCTTCTGAATAAGATTCGTTTGGAAAGGCTCCGAGAACTGGGGTCAGTGCCAGAGTGACTGTGAGTTCTCAACTCTGCGCCCATGGCTGCAGCCCACGTGACGTAGAGGAGAGCAGAGCTGGCCTTGGGGTTGGCCTCCCGGTGGGTCAGTCCTTTCCCTCCTCTTCAGGGCAGCACCTCAGACACTGTTCACAGCAGGGTCTCGTCTGTTTTGTAGGTGTTAGACTCTGTCCATCTAAGGTGCCTGTGTGTGCGTGAGAGAGAGAGAGAGAGAGGTGGAGCCATTCAGCCATCTCTGCATAACCAGGTTTGATTAATACCTACACCACTACAGGGAGTTTGTGCCACAGCATGTATGGGGGCAAATGATTATATTTTAAGGGCCCTCGCTCCTTCGGGTAGGCCCCATTGAATATTGATTGACTGAATTCTGGTATCACCATTCAAAGATGAGTTTTATAATTACAGTGTTGAACATTTTTATCAAAAGTGTAAAAAATGTGCATTGAACATCCTGCCTGGACATAATGAAGACTGTGCATACATCATACCGTGTAACGCGCATGTTATTCTTGACTAACATTTGTATATAACATTTTTTCTCTACTCAGTGATGTAGGGTGTTCATATGGCGCCGTATATCAGATTGACCTCAAACCATGGTTGCCTGATTTTTCTCAGAACTGAGGATGGGTATGGGGAGACTTGCTGTTAACTTTACCGTGCAGTGAGACAAAAGGGAGATACAGAAATTAGATGTGGGGTTCCTTCCTTCCCTTTTACTTGGGGGTGAAAATAAGCATGCTCTTATTTCATCTGTGTTCCCCATGACTGCCTCATAAATCCCCTGTTGGAGGGAATGAAGAATGTTCCCCGACCCCAAGTTTAGTTTTCCAGTCTTTGGACTTCCATTGTCTTTTCGGGAAGAATTAGGAAAATCTGACTCTAAGTAGATACTTTCTTCCTCAAGTGTTTTGTAAACCCTCTGAGGTCATTTTATTCTGAACTCCTTTTACTTCTTTTGTGTGATGAAATTTAGAAGCTATTTTCTGCAGGGTTGGGGAGGGTAACACCTTGAAACATTGAAAGGTAGGGTAGCGGGTCCAGAGACCTAGGGTGACATTGGTCAGAGCCCCGAATCCAATACCTGGTCCCCGTGCATCCGGGCTGGTTCCAGCCCCAGGTGATGGATGTGCGCAGCCAGCTTCTCGTCCCAGGAAGGTGTGCTCTTCAAGGTCTGCGAATAAGGTCATCATTAACCCACCTCAGTTAGCCTGCCTTATTCATTCATTTAACCCATCCTTAATGAGTGCTTTAGATAATGATCCAGAGGGCCAGGAGAGCAGAAGAGAAATGTCTCGCCTCCTTTCCCTCAGCACCGATAGGGTAACTTAGCCTCTTCCTTTCCACTTGGGCAGGTGGAGTTTTATCGCAGGAGTAGCCTCATGTTGGAAATGACCATTCTTCTGTCTTCACCCAAAGCATTATATGTTGAGCTGGAGAGAATTTCCATGGCTAGTTTTAAACCAGTGATGGATAAAGAATGGACTGACTGCAAAAGGAAAACACATGATTCTCTTGCACATTTTTTTCCTTTTCTCTACAAATCTAGCTTCTCGCCACTGATGCCTGGCAGGCCTACAGATGTTGTTTGTACAGATGTTTGTTTTCTAGAACTCTTCACATTAATGAAATCCTATCACTGATATTCTGTGATCCTTGAAACTTTGAGTGACTGTTAAAAACCAAACAAACAGAAAACCAACAACACTTCCCGCCACGGTCTGGCACATGCATCCGCACCGCGAGACCTCTGAAGGGTCAGTGACAGGGTCTGGTCTGGTTCAAATCCAGGATGCGCTGGGGTTGGGGCTAGGCAAGAGCCGACATGTGGCTCCTTTCTTGCATTTTCAAGTGCATAAGACTTGCATGCAACTTCAGGAATTTAGATGGAGTTATTTCTTCAACAGGACTGGCTTTCCAGTATTAAAAGCTCAAATGAGGCATTCAGAATCCATCTGGAAATACCTAACATCCACAAGTCTAAAAACGAGTCAGTCTCCTACCAGTGAGTGGGGACGGGAAGGCCCCGCTGCTTACTTAGACCTCGGCGCAGCCGAAGTAGTCAGCCTTTTGGGGGCCACGGGGGAGACACGAGGGACAGTCACTGGCATCTCTGTGTTGTGCTCTGTAATTCTTTGGAGTAGGAGCCAAGAGTCCTTCATCTTCTGTCCACTTTTGATCCTTGACATTTCGTTTTTCTTCTCTTTCAGAAGAAGCCATTGAAGATGTTGAAGGGCCCAGTGACGCGGCTGCTGATTCAGAGGAGCTTGCTAAAGACCAGGAGAGTGGAGGCGAGAAGGACCAGAGCAAGTGGACAGGTAGTGTGTGTGTGTGGCCCCCGAGGTCCCGACATTTCTCCCCTGGAAGCGTGAGGCCAAGTCAGGGAGCAGATGCATCCTTCATCTCCCCAGAAAAGCTGTCGGTTCTGTACAGTGGGAGAAGGATATGGGTTTTGCTTTTTTGAGTGATCTGCTTCATTCTCCTTCTCTTAGGTTATGTTAAAGAATTTTGAAAGCGTTTCCTAAATGGCCCCCCGCCCAGCTTGTTTATTGAGCATCCAGGTGTCTGGCTCTATGCCAGGGGCTTCTGTGTTGGTGAGGTCACCTTTCTTCCGTGGCTCCTCCCTGGCGTGCATTGCCCTTGATGTGAGTCTTTCTCCTTTGAAGGTCCAGTCATCTAGGCCCCTTCCCCCCAGACCCAGTGGAAGGGTTTGCCCTGTACACCTTGACTGGGGTCACCCCTGAATCTCCAAGCCGTCAGCAGGGAAGGGGGGGGGCTTTGTTCCACACGTTGTGTCTCCTACCTTGCCTCCAGGGTGAGCGCCCACACCCTGAAGTGCACCCAAAGTGGGGCAGGCAGTGAGGCCAGGCAGAAGGACGTGTTACCGAAATCAGCAGAAGCAGAAGTCAGGGAAGGAAGTGCTATTTCTGGAAAACTTGGTGTTGTGAGAAGGGCAACAGGCATCTCTTGTGATGATAGGATCACTGTATTGGAGGAAAGAAGAGCTGAGCCGGAGAGGAAAAGTTTAGGCCTTGTGGAGGAGAGGAGCAAAGTTGTTTCTGAGAAGACTTCTCAGGACAGATAAGTCTCCCAGAAACCACCACAGTTATTAAAGGAAATGATATGACAAGCAACAGAAATTATTTTACTTGGTCAACCTAATTCTTACTGCCTTCCATTATTAATATTGTAATACTTTGTGTTTTTTCGAGAAAATATTTACCTTCTGGAGTCTGTATTGGTTGGGCCTTTGTTACTTTTCCAGGCACGACTGTTCTTAAATCATGTTCAGTGTTGGCCTTCACTGTTTACACAAGATACAGAATCTTGGCGAGAGGCCAGGAGAGAGCAATGAAAATCACTGAAGGCTGAGAAATATTGCCTCTGAAAAGAGGCTGAAGAAATTGGGGCTATTCGGTCTGTAAAAGAGAAATTCGAGAGGCAGCTTAACAGCTTCCAAATTTCAGGAGGGCTGGGGCGGAGTAGGCCCTGTTCAGTGTTTCCTGGGACACGGACACAGGGTGTCACCGCAGTTGAGTGAACCAAACTGTCCCCTTTGGGACTGTGGTGGCCAGAGACACTGAGGGATGGGGCCGAGCACCCTGGGAAGGGTTGCAAGGGCGGGCCAGGAGGTAGGGCACAGACGTCTCTCCTCAGAGGCCCTCTGCACCGGGGAGGGTCGCCAACCGAGATCCGGCTTTCTGTTGTACTGTCAGGGCGAGCTGGACACAGACTTTGCAGACAGGGGTGACCTGGGGGAGAGGATCTCACGCACACCGTCGGAAGGCCGAGTAACCTTCCAGGCCATCTGTCCTTCGTTTTCACAGTTTGTGAAACTGTGGCTTCACCTTTCTGTGCCTCCGTTTCTCGCCTGAGATGGGGATTAAAAGTAGTACCTACTTTCAGAGGATTGCCGTGAGGATTATTTGAATATGGGAATCCTAGAAAGTGCCTGGCATGTAGGAAGCTCTACCTTAGGAAGGTTTTTGTTGTTGTTGTAATAATTTGGTTAAATAAGATGAGGGAAACTAGTAGCAGTTTCTCTTCGGGTCCTTTCCTGTGAACGTGAAACTGTCTCCAGACAGCTTGTGGCTTTGAGGAATTTTGAGAAGCGGAGGAAGGACAGCACGTAAGAACTTACTGGATCGTGTCGACGGTCTGTGTGGGCGGTGCCTGCATTCTGCGCGCTAAGGACACTGAGTCAGTGACACGACGTGACTGCCATTTGCGAAATTCCTCCTGTGCCAGGCAGCCAGGAGCGCCGTAAAAATGAGCGTCTTTCATAAAGCCCCGCATTCTCATTCGTTTGTTCATTCGTTCGTTCGTTCAGGCAGCAGGCTGTACTTTATCTTCAGAAGACAGAGGAGAGAGAGAGAGACCGTGGACGAGTAACTCAGAGGTGCCCCTTAGTCGGATAGTGGTGAAGAGAGAAGGGGAAATTCTTTGCTGACTCCTGCAAATGATCCTCTTTTGACCCGAAGCATAATTTCGTCTATGTTGTCTGAGTGTGTAATGACAGGCTTTATTAAGGCACTTGAGCCGATTTGATCTTGGAATCGATACAGGTGGCAGCAGCCTCTTCGCAGCTTTCTTTGGGATCCTTACTATTTTATATTAAAAAAAAAAATCTGTGTTTGCTCCATTTATGCCCTAAATTGAGCTGTTCCTGTCTGATTAAATGTGATGGGGAGCGCTTCCTCCCAGCAAATAAATAAATAGTGATTTCACAATTTGTACCGTTGATTAGTGGCCGCTCACGGTGCGGATTAATAATATTTCAAATGAGCCTGGATAATTGGCATTTTCTCGGCTATTGATTATGTAGCTTGGGGTTTGTGCAGGAATGGATAATCTTTACTAAAAATTTTTAGTCATTTATTTTTATGTTGGAAGGGAACTCCTGGTGTCCATTTCGGTGTCCGTTGGCCACCGTCTTTGGGCTGCTTTTGTGGAGGTGTCAGGTCTTTGACTGCGGGGCAGGCAAGATGGTGCTTTGAATCCCAGCAGCATCCCAGCCCAGGGCCCGGGGCTGGGTCGCTCCCACGTGCAGGGCACTGGGCAGAGTTCCACTGATCCCAGGTTCCATGAGCTGACAGTGGAAACTGTCACTCTGGGAACGGAGCACACCCCCGGGCTTCCAGGAAGAGCCGTAGTCCTCAGAACAGCGTTGCTGTAGGTCAGTGCTGTCCCACGGAGCTTCCTGGGCTGATGAAGAGGTTCCGCCGCGTGCAGTACAGTAGCTGCCTGCCTTAGTGGCTCTTCAGCCCTTCAAGCGTGGCTCGTACCACTGAGGAATCGCATTTTCAATTGTATTTCACTGTAATGAATTGAAATGTGGCTCTTTGAATCTGGACAGCGCAGCTCTAGATACTCAGAAGGAGCAACACTACCCCTGAAAGGGTGCCTCCCGGCTACGCTAGCTTCCCAGTTACTGTGAAGGCTACCCCGAGCTCTAACTGGGTGCCAGGCACCGTTCCAGCGCCCCACCTGTCCTTCCCAGCAGGCGTGCCGGGAATGGCTCACAGGTGCACAGGTACTGATCTGTACCGCCCTTGAGTTGGCCTGGGAGGCGGGGGGCGGGGGGGTGGCCAGGGGAGGGGGCGCTGCTGAAGCCGGGGTCCTTGCGGTTTCATCCGCCTATACTCACTTGCCATTGTTTTCTACGTGTGCCGCGATATGAAAGCGAGTTGGGAAGCTCTGCTTTACCCACGTGTGGGTAAATTTCATTGGGTTCCTACCCCTCACTCTGTGAGACAGGTGCTGTAAGTGACCCGCCCCGCCCCGCCCCCCAGGCCCCCTGCCATTGTGCAGAGAAGCAAACTGAGCCTGGGACGACTGAGCTCGTGCAGGTTGCCAAAAGGCACACAGCGAGGTTCAGATTTGTTGAGCGGCCCAGCTGCTTAGGACGGAGCCCGTGCTCGTGCGGGGACAGCGTCCCACTTCTCCAGGAATGCGATTTTTCGGCAGAGTCATCCGATCTCGCTTTCACCTCCTTTCTGAGTGTGGAGAGTAGCATTCTCCCAAAGTGGTACAGCAGTGACAGGAGCATGACAGCCAGGTGGATGGTCCACCATGAGTTTACCTCATAGTAGGTCCACGTCTTGCTCAGTCTGAAAGCAGGTTGGTGAAGCGGACCACTCAGCAGATGGCCTTGGCCTCCCGAAGCCTCGGGCATCTCATCTGTAAAACATGGATGGATAACACCCGCCACCACATCCTGGGTTCCATGATGAGGGCTCTTGAGGGCTCCATGATGGCACGTGGCAGCCCTTGATAAACCCTTCAGCGATCCCACCTCTTTGGGGTGAGTGTGATGCAGTCTTGTGGGCCGACGGAGGGTGCAGGAGGGTTCTTTGAGGCTCAGTCTCTTTCCTAATGCACAGCAATTTCCACCATCCAACTTTGTGGTTTTCTCTTTTGAAACATGAAAACGATCCCTCGTTCTCTTTTAGCAGTGTGGATTTAAAAGTGTGTGTTCTAGATTGAAGAGGCCCCAGTGTCGGCAACTGAACAATAATTAATGCAGTGATTATCCAATCCACCGTTAATTGCTATAAATTAAGTGATATACAATTAATGTGATGCTTTATCACCAATAATTAGGGGAAAAAATTGAACTCTTGGCAAAGAATCATAGCAAGATGGTTATTTAAATCCTGTAGCCGCCATGGTTTCCAGCCACAGAGCACTAAACTGGGTCTAGTTAAGCTAATTTGAGACAAGATGACCAGGGGGTGTCGGTGCTTGAAAACACAACGATGGGCCTATAGCCCAACTGAAAATACCAACATGATAATGCTTCCGAAATCCCTAATTGATGTCTGTGTCTGTATTTTTGGAAAATTTCGAGTTAGGATTGTAGTTTGAGTGTTGTTTTTCTAGGGGAATGGCCTGAAGGGATTTTATTTTATTAATTTTTTTTCCTTAAATCCATGATGCTCACGTAACACAGGGCAGTTAGTGCAGTGGAGTGTCCCTGATTTGAATCTATGGAAGATTGCTGTTAAAAGGCGGTATTAATGGGCCGGCAAGGTCTGGGCGACTGCGAGGGGAAAAGTGTGTTTATGGAATATGGTGCTGGCAGGCATGATTTCAATCGGGTTTGACATGTTTAACATAAATGTATAGTGTACGGCTCTTGCTGCATATGAATAATTCCTACAGACCCACAGCCTCTCTAATTACTGAGGTTGAAAAAAAGCAGGTCAGGCACATCCTGGTGGAAATCTATTACCAGCCGTCCCCCTTGTCTCCCTGTTGTTTACAGCTTTGTATAAATAGGGATGCCATTGTATGGGGAACTTAGTGCCTGAAGTGT